TTCGCTGACATTTTGGCAAAACTTGGGAGTGCATGGCGGTTAGAGGTTCGTGGATTTCGGATCGGATGTACTGGTGGTTTAAGAGGGCGACAGCCTTGAGATATATCATCATTGTGAAACTGACACGGCCCTAACTAATCCAGGGGCGATTTCGTTCATGTGGTTTCATCTGGATCCGAACCCATCTGGATCCTAACTCACATCTGCATTTCAATTTTCAACAGTTATGGGTGTACCGGTAGGGTTTTCATTTAACTGTGAATCCAGAAGGATGAATGGGGTTCAAGTTGCGCTCAACTAAGGGCTGGCTATTCCCAGTGATCTGGAAACTTTAGGAAATATAATTTATACTAATTTTATAGTAATTTTATTATGTATACTAATTAGTAATTTTACAGTTGTAATTTGTAAGGACCTGCCCAAACATGGACTGAGAACACAGCTCGGCGATTTCTGAGTTTTGCCGCTAGAATGAATGCCTTGCGGAGATTCCCTTCCCGCTTTCTGCTGAGTTTTTCTACGTCTGTGTGTGTGCGTGCTTGCTGGTTTGCGTGCCTGTCTGAGTGCTTGTCGGATTGAGTGTGTGTGTGTGTGACCCGCGAGGGTACTTGTTGTTTGTTTGGGAGGACCCGCAGGGACGGCACTTACCTGTGGCTGTGACTTTGCGGGTTGCAGCGGGGAAGACACTCAAGTAGCGGGAGTAGGCCTGCGGCACTTAGAGCAGCGGGGAAAAACACTCAAGTAGCAGGTAGGCCGGTACAATCCGATGTAGTGGTAGATGTGTCGGGGACTAAGCAGAAGAAGACAAAAGTTGGCATTTTTAGAGGCCTAGTAGTGGTAGGCTAGGTCTAGGCGGGTACCAGTCCAAGCAGCCTGTAGTCTGGGGCCTGTGTGGACGAAATCAGAACCTCCAATGATGTTTCCCTCCGAGAGGGAGGCTTCCTCGATTGCTGCATGCAAGTTTGGGCGACATGCTGCTGGAGCTCGTCGAGGAGCAGCGCTGGTGTACTGCGCTGCGGGGAAGGAGCACCCAGCCCCCCACCTTGGCTATGGTGGACGAGCTTGGGCAGGAGGAGGAGGAAGAAGGGACTAGGAGGGGGGAGAGGCAAGGAGAGGGAGAGAGACAGAGAGA